ACTTAGACATTAACTGCTGGAGTCAACTCTGTTTGCCTGTTAACAAAATATGTTGTAAATGCCAAGTGAAATGTAATAAAACTCTCACAAAAGGGATCATTAGATGCACAACTCCAGCTGAAGATGGCCATCACACCTTGGTCGACAAAAATGTCCTTTAATGTCACTAATTGATCTTGACCAACTGTTTCAGATCTGAAGTTTTCACTGTGTAACGAAAGATTGACCATTGGTTTATAAATGATTTACAAGTTGCAGCCCACGTAGGCCACAGCCCACAGAGACCACACCCTTTGCAGACTTATTCGCCTAAACATAATGGCAGGTAAATGAGACAATCTTTGGATGATGTGTATTTGTGTGACCTTGCACTGCCCTGTTACTCGTGAACTTAAAATGTGTTGGAACATGTAGTCACATCTTTTCATGGAAAGTACAACTTCCCAAATTTAAATGTATTTTAAAAAAACATTTCACATAAATACACATTAAAGTGGGGTATTATGCAAAATCAACATTTTTTTTTTAGCTTTTATCATGTTATAATGTCATCCCTTCATCAAAAACATACCCAGAGTGTTGCTTTGACCCATTTGAGAAATCCTTGAATCTCCTGTTATGTGGAGCGACCTAAACACTTGCTGGTACAAAGCACCGCCTCTGTACAAAGCTCCTCCCTGGGGCTCACAATGAATCATGGAATATTGTCAGGATGTTCAGATACAGCCTTGGTTTTCAGGGTTCTGTGGGCTGCATTTGTCAACAGCCTAAGAAGGAGCCCACGGAATGGGACAGCCTTCAGCACGGTGCAATGACAGAACCAGCCTACAAACACTCCAAAGGACGCAGACCCTGAATTGAGACACATAGTTTCCATTAACATCACATCTACTTATTTTGTTGTTTCGGTACTCTTGGCTTTGCTTTTTTTTTTTATAAACGATCGCTGATATATAACTATTAATACATTAAAAATAAAGTTTATTAACAAAAATATAACTCTATCAAGGCTTTAAAGATGGCCAGTGGATTGGGCCATGTACAATAAAATCTTGGATGAGAACCTTCCTTCTTTCTTTCAGTGAAGATGTGTTGTTGACAGATCTTCCAACAKGACAATGACTTAAAGATAACAAAGGAGCAGCTGAAGAAGAAGAAATACAGAGGTCATGAAGTGACCTCGTCTGCTTCCAGACCTCAGTTTCAGACAAATCTGCAGCAGGAACTGAAGCTTTGAGTTGCTAAGCAGCAGCTAGGAAACCTAAAGGATTTAAAGTTTTATAAAGAGTYAAAATTGCTCCTGAGATGTTTGCAAACCTGCAACTACAAGAAACTTTGTACCGCTGTGCTGTCAACAAAGGTTTAAAGTCAGCTTTTGTGTGGGGATCAAAATTGTTCTTTCACTCAGTGSCACACAAATTACTTTGTGACTTTTAAATTAAGTGTTTTTTTTGCTCCAATAAAATAACTGCTATAAAATTAGAAATGATTCATATCTTCGTAAATGGGCAGTTACACTATAGGGTTCCTACTTTATTTAAAAGTTCGTCTCACGTTATTTTAGAGTTAAAAACACTAAATATCTGTGGGAGACAGAATAGGAAAAAAAAATTCATTGAGCAATTTTTTWTTTTTACTCCTTCCTTCGTCGAGATGTTCACACTGTGGTAAAAGAAAAAAAAAAACTCCACTCCACCCTCAGATATATACGTGCTTGTTCACACACACATTTTGCTTAATCTTACGGTAAACAGCTTTCTTCCACCTTCAGGCCCTGCCTTTCTCAAACTCACTGAGGGAAGCGGAGCAGGTAACACTCAGTTGGTTTTGGCGCTCATCCATGTGATCCTGACTGTGAAAATCCAGTCTGTTGCCAAGCAGCTCGTCTTAGCCTGAAACTTTTAAAAGATCCCTCGCAACAAAAAAACAAAAAACTGCATTAATAATACARCAATACATCCTAGAGCTATCTTAGAGTACAATATATGTTAAAAAAAAGCAGAAGTCAGAGGGGGGAACTGGAGTGTGGAGAACAACTCTAAATCTAAACAGACTAAACAGAGATGTGACTAATCAAGATGTGACTAAGACGACAGACAGTTTTTTTTCCCCAAACTGGAACCTGATAACTGAGGTGCTGAACTGCCCAGCATGTTGATGTTTAAAGACACATTTCCCTTAAATCCACATGGATGTTGTTAATATTTAATGGGGGTGAATAATAGAGGTTGTTCCAGGCAAAAACAATATCACATATTAAACAAGCCCTCTTGTACCTCTGCCTGAACAATCCCACCCTACCCCCACACCCCACTAAACATGTCTGTTTTTGCCTAACATTTGGCTGGATGGCACCGTGCCACCTCACGAGCGTTCCCGTAAACACCCGCCACTCTGGACCCCGCGCTGTTGTTCTTTGCCAAAATGTCACTGGGACTGTGGTTGACCTCAAACCGCAGCGCTGAATAAACCCTAAAAMCCAAAAGCAGAGCCGAGCAGAGAGCATCGGAAACAGGCAGCTCGCACAGAGAGCAGAATTTCATAAGGGAGGTGGCAAAGTGGAGACACAACGCTGCCAAGATTAGCTGTTTTCCTCTGTTTGTCCACACTCCCATGGAGACTGACAAAAAGGCATAGAATCAAAATAGTCGCTCTCTGAATAGCAGAGAATTACCTGGGATAAGGTCATTATGCTGGAGACCCTGGAAGTGATGATTTCAGCTGGAGGACAGTAAAATAGCTGCATTGTCTTTAGGTCTAAACATCATATAGCCACAACACATGTGGAACCAAGTGTGATCACCCCTCRTTACAGCAGATCATCTGCTCATTCTGTGACAGATGAGATTATTTCTCTGTTTATTAGTTAGAAGACTGTTATTTTAGGAGTGCATCTGCTAGATCAAGTATTACAGTTAGGATTTTATAAAGTAGGGTTYAGTAAAAACAGTTATAGCTTTTGAATCGCATAAGTTTGGATAAATAGACCAGTTCAGCCAACAGGTAAACCACTGGATTTCTGATGTCTTTAAACAATTTTAAGCTTTAAAATTTCATAGAGATTCGTAGAAATGCTGTTTATACACTGTTACATCACTGTCATATTGCATTCATGCACTTATTCCACAGAGTTTCACACCATTTCCCACTTCTTTGCATGAAACATCTTGCATGTGAATCAGACCACCAAAGTCCCCAATTGGCCATGGGGAGGGAGGTGAGTGAAAGTGATTTGCATGTTAGTTCAGCTCCTTCAGTCGACCAACTCACTACAGAGTCTCAGTTCAGGGGTTGCAGCCCACGTAGTCTGCCCAGGTATCTGAGGATGATGTCTGTTTTCATGACCATGTGCTGCCCTATAACCAAGGAGTTGATTTTTAATTTTATATCACATGCCTTCAAGTGTCTTTTCCTATAAATTCACAAAATTCAGTATTATTAAAAATGTTGCATGTTATTAAATAAAAAACATTAATAATTTGGGTTTAGCTCCAGTTGCATTTTCTTTAACATCTTATTGCAGCATACATTTCATCAGCTAAGTTGCTAAACATACATTTAAAAACAAATTCTTGGATCTGTGATGAATTTCCAAACTCTGCTGTAAACAAAACAAAACAAACAAACAAAAAAACCCTCTGTCTTCCTTTTCAGTTTTAGTTTGCTGACAGTGCAATGAATCCTGGGATATCCTCGGCTGCATAGGGTACTTAGATGTGTGAAACATCCTGTAAAAAAGAAAAAGAAATCCAGTTGCGTTTGTTTGAACAGGTTAGGATTACCACTACTAGGATCTGAAATATTATGAAATTTCTGCCCCAGACTGCAGCAGAAGTGCTACAGATAACTGCTGCTGTTATTTATGCTAGCAAACAACCGTTTGTGACATAAAGTATGTAAAACAGCATTTACATGAACAGCTATGAAATTTAAAATGTGGATTTTTAGCCACACTTGGATTAAATGGGAACTTTTTGGTTCAGTCAAATAGAAAAGTACTTTTTTCCAAACAAAATTTGTTCAAAGAGTTATCTACAGCAGGTAAGATACTGCTTGTTCTCAACCTTTTAATAGAGGAACACTTTATACGATCTGCACTATCTTTTTAAAGGCTGCTAGATACTGTATAATCAGAGATTCAGGTGGACACATCTTTAAGCATCCTACCTGACTTGTTCTGTCTGCGGAGGGATACAGGATGAAGTGGCGACGGACTGCACCTGAGACGGCACTTGTGTGGGCGTTGGAAAAGAAACAGAAGACAAAGGTGCCCTTCTTTAACAACCCCAGACAGGTGAGGAATCACGTTTCCATCCAACAACCGAACACAAGACCTTTATTGTGTGACAAGCATTAGAGATCAAAAGCAGAGAAAACACACAAACATAATTCTCGTTTTAAGTTAACTGACAATGTTTGGATGAAATGGGATTAAATTACCTGTATTTCCTGTTCCTGATCAAAGTGGCTTACCGAGAGGGCAAAGTGCCCAACATTACCAACACCCTGCAAAGCTGTCAGGATACAGCAGAGGGTGTTTACATATAGATGTATATAGGACTTATGAATGTCAGTTTGCTTTGGGGTATCAGTCAATGTGGTATTTATATTAAAAAACATGTAAGGATTTATAATCTTACATGATTGATAATTTGAAACCACCTAACTGATATAATCTGTCTAAGTTTACTTCTTTGCTGTGGTAGAAAGTCCCTAACTCCGTACCACATGGATTGAGTTTCTACAGGAAAAGGAATGCTGCTGGAAARAAGCCTGGAAGGGGCGCGGCTTCGAGGAGCGCCTTGCGGAAGARCCCGTACGTCATGATGCCCATATAAGGGCTGGACGACTTCCTTCACCAAAACGGCTCACAACAAACAGGAATATGATTGAATATCAAGTGGATTTTTCCGTTTAAAAACACAATTATAACTGACTATCCTACATATCCCTTTATATATATATATTTATATTTTAACATTTGAATAAATAAATAGTGAATTCTCCCTTTTTGTCAATCTGACAAGGTGTAAATGAACGAAAGAGACGCTTAAAAGCGAGAGTTTGTTCACTTATCGAACACATTACACATAATTAATGACGTTAAATGTGTGAACGCCGCGGTTTTGAGGTTGTTTGTTTGTTTATTTGTGTCACTCCGCCGCCCAACCTCCTCGAGGCTCTCTCTTGCCTACAGGCTTTACAGGCGCCSCTTCCCGGCATCAGCGTCACTCGACGACGCAACGAGGAGCGGCCCCGGCCAATCAGAACGCGCCATAGCGGCAGTATAAAAGAAGCTGTTATTGGCCTGACAGGAACACACCTCCGCGAAGCTCTAAGCGCAAACACAGCTAGGAGAAAAAAAAAGAGAAGTTGAACTTGACAGGATTATTTAAACGGGATTCAGAATCCGGGGAAGAGATTTTCCTGCTGAAAACGAACACAAGAGAGCTTTGCTGGACTTTCACTCTCATTTTTTAAAATAYTTCATTTAAAATTTGGGACGTTTTGATTCGTCGAGCGCCTGAATCGATGCATGCTCTCTGAATATTGTTGTTTATCCCAGAGACAGGTTTTCTAGAAGCAGCTGGTAAGCTTCTTCCTTTTTTTTCCCGTCGCTACGACTTTAAAGATGGAACAGCCTTTTTATCATGACGACTCGTTTCTGCCGGCTTACGGCCACTCAGATGCAGCAATGTACGACTACAAACTGCTAAAGCAGAATATACATTTGAACTTGACAGAGCCCTATCGCAACCTGAAATCCCAGCTGGGAGCCGAGGCGGACCCGTACCACCAGGCAGCGGGGCCGCAGCAGCAGGACTTGGGGTCCCTGAATCTCGAGTCGCCTGAGCTGGAGAGCCTCGTCATCCAGAAAGGTACCAAAGGTACCGGGGTGCTCACCACTCCCACCCCGGGACAGTACCTCTACAACCGGGGCATCACCGATGAGCAGGAGGGCTTCGCCGAGGGCTTCGTGAAGGCTCTGGACAAGCTCCACAACATGCACCAGATCCCTCCTCCGAACGTGTCCCTCGGCGCCGGCGGGGTTACGACGTGTTCGCCGGCGGCCTCTAGCGTCTTCGGCCCCTCGCTGCAGCCGGAGACTCCCATCTACACGACSCTGAACGCCTACTGCCCGAACACCAGCCTGTCCTCTTCCGCATCCAGCTACCCCACAGCCACCATCAGCTACCTGCCGCCCCACCACCAGCAGAGCCACACGCAGACCTCCGCGCACCACTTCCAGCCCACTCTGGCCGGCTCAGGCATCCACCCGCAGCGGCTCCTCACTCTGAAGGAGGAGCCGCAGACCGTGCCGGACCTCCTCAGCAGCGACGGCTCGCCCCCGATGTCTCCCATCGACCTGGAGTCTCAGGAGCGGATCAAGGCGGAGCGCAAGCGGCTGAGGAACCGGCTGGCGGCCACCAAGTGCCGGAAGCGCAAGCTGGAGCGCATCGCGCGGCTGGAGGAGAAGGTGAAGGTGCTGAAGAACGACAACGCGGGGCTCTCCAACACGGCGTCGGTGCTGCGAGATCAGGTGGCGCAGCTCAAACAGAAGGTGCTGACGCACGTGAGCAGCGGCTGTCAGCTGATGCTGACCAGCAAAATGGAGGCGTTTTAAAAACGAAAGCGGCAGAGACTGAATGACTGAGAAAAGTAATAACACTGGAGGCGTGATCGGTGCGCCCAGCTCTGGAGCCGAGAGTGGACAGGGCAGTGGACCGTTCCGGGGTGGCGAACAGGAAAGACTGATAAAAATGGTACTTCCGGATGCTGGTCACCGCTCAGAACCATTCAACCCTTAAAAGCAGGGCAGCATCCAGGCTGAGAACAACACAGCTGGCCCAAAGGTTTACCTCGGGGTTCAAAATGGGAATGAGTTATTGTTTGGACTTTTGAAACTGGTAAACAAACAAAACAAAAGCATTTATTCATTGTGTAAATTATTTTGTTTGTCTGGTTGATCCAGACAAACTGTTAATGTTTACATTGTCTTTTTTTTTATTTGTGATGTGTATTTAAGTAAAGTGTCTTTTAAAATGAAGAAAAAAAAAACTGGACCTGAGTGCTTTTTTCCCATTTATGTCCAAATACAATAAAAAAAACTCAAGACGTTACAAATTAAAAAAGGAGATGTTATGAATATCTCTCTCTCTCTCTCTCTCTCTCTCTCTCTCTCTCTCTCT